GGGAAATGTTAGCATTCTAAAGGAGGGAAAAACTCAAGGCATACTATAACAAGAACATAGTGCTGATGCCACATGAGACCCCATAATGTTTCCCATCCCAAAGCTTCAGGCCCATGAAGGAAAACAAGACCTCTCAAAAGTCCACTATTTCAGGATGAGATCAGTGACTGTTTCTCGAACATTGTCTAAGAGACAACTTCCATCTTTGTGTCATTGGGCCAGTTAATTTTAAATGAAAACAAACTTGGGTAGTACTTAAACTAGGACAAAAAAGGTTTAAGACAGTCTAAAATTATACACAGATAGTTCATTAATTCATAGAAGTTCCTTTTTCATTTCTTTTCAGAGAAAAATCTTTCAAATACATACCACACAAACATACACCACACACACACACACACACCACACACCACACAAATACACACACACACACCACACTACACCCCCATACACACATATACTGCAACACCACACTACACCCCCTACACACACACCACACATCACACACACATACATACACACACCACACTACACCCCCCAACACACTCCCCAAACACACACATGCACCACAGAAACACACACACTACACACACCACACTACACCCCCCATACACACATCACAACACATCTGCACACACATTACACCCACACACACACACACCATATATACCACACACACATCATACATACACACCACACTACACCTGCACACACACTCCCCAGACAAACACACACACCACACAAACACACACAAACACTGCACAACCACACTACACCCCTCACACACACATCACACAAACACACACACTGCACACACCATACTACACCCCACAGACATCACACACACCATACCACACCCCACACACATCACACACACCATACTACACCCCCTCCCCCCACACACCACATACATTTTAAAGAGTCTTTAGAAAGCAGTTAGAGATGGGCATGGGCACAGTGGCACACACCTTTAATCTCAGCACCTGAGACGCAGAGGCAGGAGGATCTCTTTGACAAGGCCAAATCATTGCACACTCAAAAGCAGTGGACATTTCTCTTTATTTAAAAAAAGGAAGACTGGAGGACTGTTGGGTGATATCAGGAATAAAACCCAGGTCTCACTCACACTAAACAAATACTCTGAGTCACAATTCCGTCCTCAAGTCAGTGTTAGGTTACACATTTTTCATGGTTACTGTATATAAGTCTGTGCTTTCAAACTGTTCCCACTTTTACTCACTTTTCCAGTATCCCCTTAATATTAAGTTGCCATAACTCAACATAAAACTGCTGCTTGACATGCAGAAATTTAATTTTTACATAGTCCAACCAGCCTTACTTTTTATAATTTTCCCACTATTTTTATTCTTGGGAAATTCTTTTCCATTTCAACATAGCTATTAATATGGTTTCAGTTCTTCTGCTGAAGACACCACACATTTCAGACACAGGCCTTGCGGGAGAAGCGTAGGAACTGACCTGGAAGCCTCCTCCCCAAGAACTAGCTCCAGCAGTACCTGGAGATGCCATGCAAGCTGCCAAGGAAAAGGAGAGATCAACAGTCCTACCCAGCTATAACACTTAGGCACCTCAGTGATACCTTCCTGGCAAGATGCCCCAGTGGTGTAACAATGGCACAATGGCACTTTTATCAAGGGAATAACCAACATCTGTCTAAAAGAACTTAGGGTCTACTCAGTTGGAGGGAATGCACACCTAGTACTATAAACCTAGCCAAATATCTATAGCTAGAGAGTTCCAAGACCCTGGGAGAACCCACAGTTGTCATTTTCCAAAATCAATATAGTTTCTAATCATATGCTAAACGCTTACTCTTTGACCCAAAGGTAGGTGTAACTCTCACCCCTCACATTAGAGACTATCACAGAGATACACAAGTGGTCAATATGTAAAGAACAAGTGACCACGGTGCTCAGTCCCAAGTGGTTTTCCTACAATGTAACTCCTTCTCCTAAGGCTCAGGAAAATCATGGAAGAGGGGGAAGAAAGAGTTTAAAAGCCAGAGGACCCAGAACACCTGTTGCTAGTATCTTCTACACATGACAGAAAAACTGTACCCATGAAATCTCAACCATAGAGTTATCTAAACAAGAACTGCATGATGACACCATCAGTTGACATGCCGATGCGGATGAGAGAAATTTCATGAAGCCCCACCCCTCGATGAAGAGAAGAGCTATCGGCAACCAATGGTGGCTAAAAGAGGGAGAATCAATTTTTCCCCAAGGACAAGCATCCACATAGGTTATCCAATCCAAAGTGGTCAGTCCTTAACACATGTACAACATGCACATACGAGAAAACTAAATGAATTTGGTAGGTTGTGTGGGGGGGGGGGGCGGTATGTGTGCCACCATAATTATAGAAGTAGTCATGAATTTAAGAGGTAGTGTGGGCAGGGGACACAAGAAGAATTGGAGAGGAGAGAAGAGATGGAAATGATGCAAATATACAATGCTTATGGAAGAAATTCTCCTCCACAAAAAAAATGTTTACTTAAAAAATTGACATTTCGGGCTGGAGAGATGGCTCAGAGGTTAAGAGCACTGACTGTTCTTCCAGAGGTCTTGAGTTCAATTCCCAGCAACCACATGGTGGCTCACAACCATTCCTTATGAGATCTTGTGCCCTCTTCTGGTGTGCAGATATACAAGGAAGCAGAATGTTGTATACATAATAAATAAATAAATAAATAAAACTGACATTTCAAAATGTAAAACCTTTTTGAAACCTTTTGGCTAATTACTAAAATTTAAATATTTACTACTCCAATTTGATGTTTAATTAATTTGTTTCACTTACATATTCCATGAATGTCATTCATTTGGAGATTTCTAAATTTGAGTTCTCATTTTTTGAAATCTCATCTATAATTACTGTTGTATGACATCCTTCTATGGTATATAGTGTGTGTGTGTGTGTGTGTGTGTGTGTGTGTGTGTGTGTGTGTATGTGTGTGTGTGTAGAGGAGGTTGATAGGGTATCTTGCTACATAACACAAGCTTGTCTCAAACTCATGACATAAACTCAGGCTGGTCTTGAACTTGTGATCTACCTGCCTCAGATGCCCAGGTGCTGGGATTACAGGCATGTGCCATCACAACCAGCTATGCCATATTTTTATGGTTTTCTACTTTGGCATATTTAGGTTATTTTTTTCTTTTGGTTAGATACGTTAAATATTTGTCTCTTTCCTTCCTGTCTTCCCTGTGCCAACCACAACCATCTTTCTAATTCACCTTATCTTGGGGTTTTTTTTGTATATGTGTGGTGGGATATTTGTACACTGTGTGAAGGTGTGTTTCTATAATTGGTGTAATAAAAAATTAAATGGCCAATAGTTAGGCAGGAGATATAAATGAAATTTCTGGGGAAAGAAAGGAAAGAAGGGAGGGAGGGAGGGAGGGAGGGAGGGAGGGAGGGAGGGCTAGTGAGGAACAAGCCTAAACTATGGCCAAGCTTTCTTAATAAGAAGTCTCTGCCTCTTTATATGGAAGCTGGCTGGTGGCCCAAAGAAAAATTCAACTACGTTTTCCAGTGGCCTGACTCACATTCACATACGTGTCGAGTAAATCTTAGGCTGTTTTGTGTTATACTGTGCTGGGCATCAATTCTTTTGTGCAGGTGTCTGTTTCTGCTCACACTGTGGACGGAGCTATCTGATCATTAACTCCAGTATTCTACTCTTACTCTACTCTGTTAAGACCTCAGAATCTGTTATTTCCCTAAGTTTTCTGGGTTACTTTGTTTTTGTTTTGTTGTTGTTGTTGTTATTGCTGCTGCTGCTTCTTCTCCTCTTTTTGTTTTGTTTGGAGACAGAGTCTCACTATGTCCTGAGTGCAAGGATTAAAGGCGATGCCGTCATGCCTGCCCTTTCTTATTCATTTTTGGTGCTGAGGACTGAACCCTGGGCCTTGAACACAGCAAGCACAAACTTTCCCCCTGGGCTAACTCCCAAGCCCTAGAACCTATATTGAAATTTTGGTGAAATAATGTAGCAAGAGGCCTAGTCACTGGATCTGGTCTTAGACAATCGGAAGCTTTGTCATGCTATCTGGAAGATACTTCTCTGATGGTCTATATAGTGCACTTTCTCAGCTTTACAGGAGACAAAAATTTCAAAGTAAGGAATGCTGAGCAAAGAAACAAAATGAAGAAATTTAATACTGAGAACTAAAATTTTAATGCAATATAAATATAAATAATTTAGTTTTATGCAATTTGGGAAAACATGCTTTGGAAGCCCATTTGTCTTTAAGAATAATCAACTTCTGGCAAAACTAACCTTTCACATCACTACTTATGATGTTTTTATACCGTGCCCAAGTTTTCAGAGCATATTAGATTCTTTGATATATTGTTCCCATAATTCTACTTACGTATTTCCCAGCCAACTATTCACTTTTCAGAAATGCTGACTAAATGCCCCTATTGTCTAATGTACGTGGACATTCCTGTGACAATACTTCCTTTCGAAATGCATTTTCCCAATTACACATAATGGAGGAAAATATGTTAAACATTTTTAATTTTTATTTCTGTGATATACAAACAAAACACTAGTTATTCCTGGAAAATATCTCATTTAACATAGGCACCACCTCAACTTTTCCTTGGAAATTTACATCTTTCCTTCTACAAACTGAAGATTACAAGGATTGAGATATCTGGAGAAATGAGAGGCCCTACCATCTTTCTTGCCAAAGGCTAATTCACACACATACTCCTTATGCAAACTTGCTTCGATTACTCCCAGGAGACCATTACATTCTGTTGTTGAATACATAACTGCAGCAGCGCAAAACTTAGACATGCTGAACACCTCTAATGCTAGCACTTGGGAGGACGGGGGATCCCAAGTTCAAGCGAGGCCTGTACTCCACAGCAAGTCCCAGACTGTCTCTTCAAACACCAGCAAAGATAATCAACAGGTAAACTAATGAAGGCAAGGCGGCCAGTCGTGGGAAGAAGCTCCTTACCTGCTTTCCATCCAGGGTGCACAGCCTCTTGACCACACCTGAGTCTAGTTTAATGGCTTCTGTGATATCCGTTAGGACCTGCTCAAAGGAATGGGCAGTCTTTTTATTCAGAAGGATCCGCACGGCCTTTCTAGGCTTCACTCCACTTCGAATCACAGTCACTAACTTGGGTTTGATGAAATCCTTGCTTTCTTTCACCTCACTTTTCACAGAGGCCACGGCCAAGGCTCGGGTTGTACCTCCCTTGATGTTCACAGACCAGTTCGGATTAACGTTTTTGGTGTAATCAACTTTACGAAACGGTTCATTGGAGGCACACACGTAACTCTCACCTAAAAAGCAAACATTAATTGTATTAGCACAATATCAGATATCTGAGCATTGGCCACAGTAAGCATGGATGCATTATGTCTAAGCAACAGCTCCTGGAAACCTGGAAGCCAGCTCCTAAACCCGTGGTCACAGAAAGGGGGTGCACTAACTACAATGTGCTTTTCCTTTACCATGCTCCCGCCTCCCTTTCTTGTAAATTACCTAGATTGGTTTTCAGAGAATGACAGGTAAAATTGGAAAAGCACTAGGCCCAGAAATTAAGAGTGAGATCTGAGTTTTATTTTACCCAAATGTGTCACCTTTGATAAGTCATTACTCCACACTTCCATTCTCAGTATCATTAGCTGCAGAATTAATGGACCAAGTAGCCAAATTACAAAGTACTTCCTAATTCCAAAAGCAAACTAAGTAATTTATTCTTCATAAAATCTCATTCTGACCAGCCCTGGTGATATGGTGCAATCCTGTAATCCTAGCTACTCAGAAGGTAAAGTGGAAAGACTGTGAGTTCAAGGCCAGCCTAAGCTACATACTGGGGGGTGGGGGGGGGTGATCGCACTGGGTATGGTAGTTCATGCTTATAGTTCTAGGAGCAAGAGGCAGGGGGAGGAGGATTGCCACAAAGTTTAAGGATATTCAAGGCTATGCAGGAAGTTTCAAGCCACTTTAGCCACTTTTGAGACCCTGTCTCAAAAATAAAATAAACAGTTCATTCTGATTGAAATAATTGTATCGCCGGGTGTTGGCAGCGCACGCCTTTAATCCCTGCACTCAGGAGGCAGAGGCAGGCGGATCTCTGTGAGTTCGAGACCATCCTGGTCTACAAGAGCTAGTTCCAGGACAGCCCCTAAAGCCACAGAGAAACCCTGTCTCGAAAACCAAAACAAAAACAAAAAAAAAAAAGAAAAAGAAAAAAAAAGAAATAATTGTATCACAAATATATTCATTAAAAACAATTAAAATCCTTCTAATTTCAGTCCTACATCCTTACACAGCTGGCTTAATTACATCCAGTTGTTGTATCATTGTTCAATTACTGAAGCACTGGAAAGTAAAAGGTGTGCCTCCTCAAAAAGTATTGTGCTCAGGCGCTGTTTAGCCTGAAGGATATAAGTTTAAAATAAACTATAACTTCAAGTAAACAACCTTTTCTATATTTTCTTAAATGGGAGCAGATATTAAGTTAAAATTATACAGTAATTTCTCACAAAGCTTAATCAGGTTTTTAATTTAAAAAAGCACAGAAGTTATACTACTTGTCTACTCACTTATTGATATCTAAATTTTTTACATTCCAAAATTTCTAAAATTCCTACTGAAAAGCTGTTACTTTTCAAAAAATATATATAACTTACTCAATTCTTTTGGCATTGACTTTTTGACATGCAAGGTTATATACTAAGATTTTCTCTGTGCTACAATTCATAGAAATACATTATTTCATATATTTAGTACAAACAGATTCATTCTTCATATAGTAATTATATCGGATGAGTCATAAATATTTTAACCAAAATAGTGAAAAAGGGAGCCTGAGAACAAGCTATTAATGTTTATTATAAAATGTTCTCCAAGTCCTGATTAATAGAGAACCTCAGAGACTCCCAAAGGCACCTGCATAAGCTGAGTGACAGATCAAGGGATGTGTACAGGAGTGCTCAGGACATGCAATGTCCCTTTCTAGAGGGACAGTTAGGGTCCTGCTGGGAGAAGCAGGGAACCAATCTAAGCTATAACACCGTTTCTACAGCAGCACCCTGAAATCCCAACCATCGCCACCCGAGTTCTCATCTCCATAGAATCATTTTCACAGTATGATCACAAGAAAACTGCATAGAATTTCAAAAAGCTATCAAATTAATAGAGCTATGCAACGCACACGCATGTATTAGTGAGAAAAGCATAATGGTGATATTTAATTTTACAGGAAAAGTAATGGTTATAAAAATTCTTGCCATTTTTATGTATGATGAAAATTTGATGAATGTTCTGACCCAACATGTGTAACAGAGGAATATATTAAAAAAAAAAACCTTAGTGAGAGAAGGTATTTGTTTCTTAAGACAGAGAGATGGTGAGTAAGTCAGTGTTAATCCCTTATAACAAGGTAAAAAGAAAAGCAAGCAAGCAGATCCACTACATCAACCTCCCTGGATCAACCCGCCCCTGCACAGCTGAGATACCAGCCAGCGACCCGGTTTTTGCCTTAAGTCTTCATTTTTTTTTTTTTCTACACACGGGCTCAGAACAGAAACAAACAGGTAGCAAGCCCCTTCAGTTGCCTGTGCAGTTATGGGTATTTATAACTCCTTCCCTCTCCCACCTTTTCCCTTCAAAATGTTCTTACTAGAAATACAGAGACCAGTTCTGTAATTTGGAAAGTGTCCATAGAATAGTCAAGGTGTCCACAGAATAGAACCCCACAGTTCCATGGTGCACACATGTACAAACACACACACAGAGAGGGGGGGGAAGGGAGGGAAGGAAAGAGGGGGAGAGAGGGAGGGGGAGACAGAGGAGAGAGGGAGAGAGACAGAGAGACAGAGAGAGAGACAGAGACAGAGACAGACACACATACACACAGTTTTCTGCACACACTGAGCTTACAAACTATTAGTTTCTCACAATTATTCTTTAATGAGTTAAGAAAAAGCCCCTTTAACAAGTAGGTTCCTTCCCTCCAAGCCTGGAGGCACACCAATCCTGAGCCTGTGCATACCCCTAGACACTCCCCTTACGCTGCCCTTTAAGATCTCTATGCAGCCACTTCGAACTGTCTTTGCTAGCCATCTGCCATGGTGGGTGGGTGAAAGACCCGAGCTAACATGGGGGTAGCTCGTTAAACAACAATAAGGCCTCAAGCAGTTTGCATCAAAAAAAAAAAGTAGGTTCCTTAATTAGACACAAGCCTCACCCTAGTTCATCTGAAACAGTCACTGGTAGATGGGATATGAACACATAGGTAAGGTTTTTACTTTCCCTGGTCACTCTGAAAACAAACCCTAGTTACAATCTAGCACACAGAGCAGTGGTTCCCAACCTTCCTAATACTGTGACCCTTTCATGCAGTTCCTTATATTCTGGTGACCCCCCAACCATAAAATTATTTTCGTTGCTACTTCATAACTAATATTGCTATTTTGCTACAATACCTGTGAAAGAGTTGTTCAGATAAAGGAATGTCCGGAGGCATCACCATCCCTGACTTCAAGCTCTATTATAGAGCCATAGTCCTGAAAACTATGTACTTTTGTGCTTGGTATTGGCACAAAAGTAGACAGGTAGACCAATGGAAACCTGTTGAAAACCCTGATATGGATCCACATACCTACAAACACCTGATTTTTTTTAAGATGCTAATTTTTTAAAGATTTATTTATTTATTTATTTATTTATTTATTTATTATACAACATTCTGCTTCCATGTATATCTGCACACCAGAAGAGGGCACCAGATTTCATAACGGATGGCTGTGAGCCACCATGTGGTTGCTGGGAACTGAACTCAGGACCTCTGGAAGAGCAGGCAGTGCTCTTAACCTCTAAGCCATCTCTCCAGCCTGAACACCTGATTTTTGAGAAAGAAGCTAAAATTATACAATGGAAAAAAGAAAGCATCTTCAACAAATAGTGCTGCCATAACTGGATCCTGGAGTGTAGAAGACTGCAGATAGATCCATATCTATCGCCATGCACAAAACTTTATTCATAAGGGAACAAAGACTTCAACATAAACCCAGCCACACTGAACCTCTTAGAAGAGAAAGTAGGTGGTACCCTCCAACAAATTGGTACAGGAGACCGCTTCCTCAACATAACACCAGTACAGACATTGACATTGACAATTAATAAATAGGCCCTCCTGAAACTGAGAAGCTTCTATAAGGCAAAGGTCACAGTCAGCAAGACAAAAGGGCAGCCCACAGACCGGGAAAAGATCTTCACCAACCCCACATCTGACAGAGGACTGATCTCCAAAATATACAAAGAACTCAAGAAGCTAGTTTCCAAAACACCAAATAATCCAATAAAAAAGTGGGGTACAGAACTAAATAGACAATTCTCAATAGAGGGATCTAAAATGGCTGAAAGACACATAAGAAAGTATTCAACATCCTTAGCCATTAGGGAAATGCAAATCAAAACAACTCTGAAATACCATCTTACTCCTGTCAGAATGGCCAAAATCAAAAACACCAATGACAGTTTATGCTGGAGAGGATGTGGAGAAAGGGGAACACTCCTCCACTGCTGGTGGGAGTGCCAACTCGTACAGCCACTTTGGAAATCAGTATGTCGATTCCTCAATCCAGAAATTCCACTCGTAGGCATATACCCAAAAGATGAACATTCATACAACAAGGACATCTGTTCAACCATGCTCACAGCAGCATTATTTGTAATAGACAGAACCTGGAAATACTAGAAATCTAGAAAACTAGATGCCCCTCAACAAAGAATGGATGGAGAAAATGTGGTACATTTACACAATGGAGTACTACTCAGCAGAGAAAATCAATGGAATCTTGAAATTCACAGGCAAATGGATGGAACTACAAGAAACCATCCTGAGTGAGGTAATCCAGTCACAAAAAAGACAAACATGGTATGTACTCACTCATATGGATTTTAGATAGAGTAAATGATTACCAGCCTACAATCCATACCACCAAAGATGCTAGGAAACAAGGAAGAACCTAAGAGAGACATACATGGTCCCCTGGAGAAGGGGAAAGGGACAAGATCTCCTGAGCTAATTGGGAGCATGGGGGAGGGAAGAGGGATTTAGGAGAAAGAGAAGAGGGGAAAGAGTAGGGGAAAGGAGGACATGAGAGAGTAGGAAGATAGAGTTGGAGGAAGAATAGAGGAGAGCAAGACAAGAGATACCATAATAGAGCCATTATAGGTTTAAAGAGAAACCTGGCACTAGGGAAATGTCTAGAGATCTACAAGGATGACACAAACTAACAATCTAAGCAATAGTAGAAAGGCTACCTTA